CGCGGGCCCGCTGCCACGGTCTCGCATCCTCCATCGGGTAAGGGGCTTCTGTCTGGGAAGGGTGCATCTCCCGCCGCCCGGACGGGGCCTGCACCGCGCACCCTGCAACATCGGTCAGGGCGGAGGCGGGCCCGGGTACCGAAGGGAGGAAGGAGGAGGTGCCCGTGCTCTGGGGAGAATGAGGAGAAGCCTGGAAGAGGTTGGACATTTCCATTCCCCTCTGCACCCTATTCCCCCCCCATTCTTTTCTCATCTTCTGCCCTGGGGCCTTTTTTAGTACTTGCAACCCCAAGGCCTTGAGGCGGGGCTCGCTTTTAAAACAAGCACACAAATAATAAACATCCTAGCCGTGGGTACCACACCCTGGCTTTGAATTAGGGACCGGGGAGCAGATGGACGATGCGATTTAGTGGAAATAAGCCATTAATGCCGGCTGGCCCTGCGCCACTGTTTGGATGCGATAGTATTCCATGTGAATGAACATGACCCAGAGCTTCCAGCTTGTCCACGAGAGCACAGCTACCGCAGAGAGCACTGGTCGGTGTATAGTATCCATCGACTTGGGCAATGATTTCCTGACATGTCTGGTGATTAAATACGAATGCCATTTTTTATTAAGAATGGCATTCAGAGATTGAAAACCTCTCGTTATTATACTTCATCAAATACCTGTCCCAGCCTACAAAAGTAGGCGGAGTGTAAATTATGTATACATTTTTAAAATCTCATGGAATAGAGGAAGATGCTTAGCGTGGATCAGCTTCTGAGTCAGCAGTATGAAATCTCCCTCCACTTAGTCCTGAGGCCTTTGGGGGGATTTCTACCCCTGTAGCTCTACCCCAATCCTTATCTCTATCTGTACCATGCATACTGGTAAGATATAGTGAGATATTCAGTGAGAGTCAAAGCTTAATGTTATACATGTTTTGAGAAAAACTTTACTTTTGCGAGGTTTATGCTTTTGCAAGATATAAGTGAAAATATATAATGCATGACCATAAGAACACTTTATGCTCACCCGACTCTTTAAAAACAGAAAGGAGTGAAGGTAATACAGATTTTAGTTTTTGCTTTTTACTTTCAGTGTCATTTATAACCTTTGTCGTTTATAACCTTTCTGGCTGATTCTTTAAAATATCTTAGTTCAGTGTTTTCCTTTTTCTTAACAAGGAAAAGTACTGAAACTTAAAAAATGTCATCTATCAAGCACCTAGTTTATGCAGTTATTCGTTTCTTACGGGAACAAAGTCAGATGGATGCTTATACTTCAGATGAACAAGAAAGTTTGGAAGGTAGGCAGCTGTTTTTATGTTCATTTGTATTATAATTATAAATAAAAACTAAAATAGCTGTAAGCCTGGCTTTATGACCTATTATAACAAAATCAAAATAGTTTGTTACCTTTCCAGAAGAGAGACCTAACCTAAGGTAATCATGAGTTTCCATTCTCTGAGGCTTGTGTTGTTTGTTTTCATTAACAAGATAAGAGGACTATTGTTTATTTACTGAACAGCTATTATATGTCAGAACTATGCTATTCCTATTGTAGGGAATTTTTCTTCACAGTGCCTGCTAAATTAGTATTATCCCCAATTAACAGATAAATAAATGAAGCCAGGTTAAGTAACAGAACACAGCTAACATGTAGCAGAGCTGAGATTTAAATCCTGGTTCCTCCTCTGAAGATCTTGTTGTAACTTCTTCTTAATAGGAAAGCATTGAGTTAAGAATCAATGAAAATACCTTAGTCATTATGAAAGCACCATGTAAAAGTCTAATAATTATATCATATTATTCTCTGACAACTTCCTATTTGGGGACTTGGGATGAGAGGACTGCACCCTTGTTCTCTGTGAGCTTTAAATAGTAGATTCGGTAATTTGTTCAGTTGAGCAGGACTTGCAGGATAGCATCACATGCTTCCTTGACAGCATCTTTTCTGCTTCATGTTTCTCCATTATAAATGTACGTTTAGTATAACCATAACAAGGCAGAATTCTGCACATGGGCTTGTGGAGGATCAATGAGCCTAGCTTCCTTATGGCCTAGAGACTTAATTATTGCAATGAGACCGTGCATTTGGGAGAACATAAATAACAGTACAATTTGAATTTCCCATCTTGAAGCTATTTTTCCTATAAAGGGGACACATCTATTAATTTTAACAAGCACTTCCCTTGTGAATATGCGTTTAGGAGGTGGGGATGAAAATTGGGCCTTTGCTCTAAAACTGCTTGCAGTCGGTGGGATGATGTTTTTCCAGGTGGCAGTGAAGGAAGCAGGTGACACAGTTGGAGAACGTTGCAATCAGTCCATTTAATATTAAGGTTGGTTAGAGTATGTGAAGGGAAGGTGACTGGTTACCTAAGGAGGGTGTTGGTTATGGCTGCTCTGTAGCAAACAGGTGAATGCAGTCATTTACTAAAAGATGTTTCTTCTCTAATCAAAGGCAGTATCATACTTTTAAGGGCCAGAAGGAAAATTCAGTTTAAAAAAACACACAAAAAAACAAGATGTTGTATCCTATTTTTAGAATGGTGTTCAGCCAAAATTATGTGCCTTCAGCTGTTTCTTATACATGGCACCCGGAAATGGTGCCAGTTGTTTTTGACCAACCCCTATTTTTGATTCTGTGAGTCTAATTTTATTGACTATGAGATCATGTGGAGATGTCTGCCCACCTTCTAGACATTTAAAAAAGCCTTAGAAAAGAAGCTTAAGTTCTGGTACCAGCTTTACCACACAATGAGCTGGTATATTCTTGGCTTTGAGCCTTTCCTTAGTTTGTCACCCATTCCTCCTAATGGTTGCCATCTCCTGACAACTACTTCATGTTTTGAGCGTTGTGGCTCATGTTCTCTGTCACTCTCTCTAGCACTACTCCTGTCTTCATTCTTGGCATTTGCAATATGCTCACAGCTGATTCTTGCAGTTCCCTTGGCTCTCAGTTTCTTGACCTTCTTTCCTCCAGTGATTTGATTTCAACCACTCACTCCCTTGGTCAGACCCTCGACCAGTAGTTCTCAACTCAGGGTGATTTTACAATGTCTGGAGATATTTTTTACTGTCACAACTGAGGAGCTGGTATTACTGGCACTGAGTGGATAGAGGCCCTGGATGCAGCTACAACGCACCTCCAACAACAAAGAATTATCTAGTTCAAAATGTCAGTAGTGCCAAGGCTGAGGAACTCTTCCCTGAACTTCACCACCTTGGCATTCCCTCCATAATCTCTATCTTAATCATTTCATTTGACCACGATTGCTTGTCTTGCCAGCTCATTCCCTCTTGAATCCCTCCCCAAACAATTCTTCTACCTTTCCAAGGCCTCCAATCTCTTGACCCCTTACCTTTTCACATCCCTCTTCTTACCCAATTTAAATTCCATAGTTGATCATTATAATCACACTCTTGTATATCCCTCCCTTCCTTGCAAAACCCAACCTTGTTTAAATCCAGTTCTTCATCTACTCTTTCCCATATCCATGTGAATGTATATAGATGGAGCAAAATACAACCTTGCTGACTGGTCCCACTTCAAATTCATGATCACAAGAGACAGAAAGAGAGAGAGAAAGACATTAATGTGAGAGAGACACATCAATTGGTTCCCTCTCACATGTGCCTTGACTGGGAATCTAACCCAAGACCCTTTGGTCAGAGGGCTGATGCTCTAATCACTGAGCCAAACAGGCCAGGGCATGGCCCAATGTTTTTAGTGCAAGTACAACTGAAGTGTAAGAACAACTGCTTGGGTCCTGGCCAAATAGCTCAGTTGGTTAGAACATGGTCCCAATATGCCAAGGTTGTGGGTTCCATCCCCATTCAAGGCACATACAAGAATCACCCCATGAATGTATAAATAACAAATCGATGTCTCTGTCTCTCTGTCTTTCTCTCTCTCCTTTCCTCTCTTTAAAACAAACAAAAAAAAGAACAACTACTTGGCAGAAGTAAAAATGGGGGGAGGGGGTGGATTGAGGGATAGGTAAACAGTAGATTACTAGTATTTTCTATCTAAAAGACACTTTGACATTTTGTAGTTGGTAACTTATAACTTCCTTATTCAGTCCCTTTTCTAAGGAGATTGTTTCTGTGGGTAGTAAAAGTAATCATGCTTTTTTCTTGATAGATAATTTTCTCAGGAACACAGTTAATACATAATGTATCATTTAAAAGTCATGCACAAATCTGAGTGAATCTATTCCACACTGTCTGGAAGTACACTTGACATTTTGGCCACATTCTTATCTTGTTAAGCCAGGAGAGCATTCCTTTTTAAACAAGAGCACTAGAAGGATAAGAATCTGCCTCCATTCCCCTCAATGGGTACTTGTAGAGAGGACAGGATATGCTTTCTTCACTGTTACTGCCCTAGTTCAGACCCCTGAATTGTTTAGACCATTTAAGTGGGAACCCACTGGTTTTCTGCTTTCATTTTTTCTCTTAGCTTCCTTCCCTCTCTAATCCATTCTCAACCTTCCTACCAGACTTCAGTTCTGAACACAAATCCAGTTATGTTATTCTCCTAACTAAATTCTCTAATAGCTCTCCATTTGCCCACAGCATTAAGTCCACATCCTTTACAAATGTTGTTTAAGGTGTCTTGTCATACAACAACAGACTTCCTTTCTAGTATAAGTGCCCACCATGTCTCCCCACCCAGTCCGTACCCGGGTTATACACCAAAAGCAGATAATGACTTGCTTCAACAACATAAGATGTAATAGATATATTGAGAATTATATTCTAAGTAACGTTTTTCTTAAGTGAGGAATACGAAATCAAGTTGTCTTCCCTCAATTGCTGGTCTATAAACAGAAATCTCTATTCAGCTCAACCTTATGTTCTGTGATCATAAAGGCTGAATTACCACAGATGGCAATAGAGCGCAGATTTCTACCAAAAAAAAAAAAAAAAAAGATTGTTTCTTTTTTAGTTTGCTAACTTTTTTTTTTCACTGTTAAAATTTGTCTCAAGTTGCAATTCAATGCTTGGAGACAGTTTTTAAAATCAGCCCAGAAGATACACATCTAGCAGTTTCACAGCCTCTGACAGAAATGTTCACAAATTCCTTCTGTAAGGTAAGCTGTCATTGTCTTCTCATTAGTATCTGAGTTAAGTTCGATATAGTATTATGTTGGATTTGTTCACATATGAGGGGTCAGGCCTATAAGTAACTAACTTCTTTCTGGGTATAAGATAGTCCACATGGATATGACTTGTGACCTAAAGCATAATTCTTTTAATGTGCTTTAGATTTTCTTATTAGTAGTTATTCTCATCCTCTCGCCTTCTTTTATATTTAATACATCTTAGTTGACTTTTTAAGTCCTTTACAGTATCAGAGCATTTTTAGATTTCTGACATCTGAATTGACATTCTCCTAAAACATGGATTACAAGTTGAAAACAAAAGGTTTAATGTTTAGGAAGTAACCGCATAGAAATAGATTCATCAGAAATTGAATCATCATTTTGAAGCAGATGTAATCAAGTTTGGCCATTGATGGGCTCTTTAAAACAGGGAAAGGTAAAATAATAAATAAAATAAAACAGGGAAAGGTTCAGGGTCAATGTGCAAAACTAAGATTGAAACCCAATTTTTCCGATTCCGCCTTCTCACAAGTGTCTCTGGTTTCTGGCCTCTTCAGGAAACATGGGCCATAAGATTGTCTGAAAAAGTTTAAGTTTAGTGAGTTTGAGGCCCACAGTAACGTCCCATTTTTTCATTACATTTTGGTGCCTCGTGAACTTTTGTTTTTCTAGCTCTGTGCTCAGTCTTCAGTACAGAATGGGGAACTGGGGAGAAAAGCTGAAGATCATTTAAAAATGGAAAATGTGTGTGTTTCCAATGTCACTCAAGATATTTGTAAATTTTCATTTAGTTCATAAGTGCCTTTGCTTTAAATCTTTTTAATGCAAAGGGAGTTTGAGGATGATAGTACGTGCTAAAAACAGGGATTTTATACTGTTTTTATCTTATGGTAAAATTAGTATACACTCATTGTTTTAAAAAAAGTTGGAAAGACATAAAGAAGAGACTGAAACTTTTATCTCCAAATATTACAACTGTTAACCTTTTGTGTGTACCCTTCCAGTCTTTGTTTTTTAGACTGTGTGTATGTGTGTGCACATATTTAAATAATAGGATCTTATAATAAATACTTTTGTTGGTAAACTGTGAATTTGGCTTACTAAGATATCTCTTAGGATATTAAATATTATATTTCAAAATTTTCACTAATATAAGCAATCCCTTGAACATATTTCTATTCCTATTTTTCATATACTGATTCCATTTTACGTCCATGAAGTAGGATTTCTGGGTCTAGGGAAAGCAAGTAAAAAACAAAATTTCGATTCACAGTTGCCCATTATCTTCTAGAAAAATTCCACATATTCTTTCTCCTAATAAAAGTAAAGGCTTTCCCTTGTTCTTGCTAACACTATCATTTAGGTGTTAGGTTTCATGATGTGGAATTACAGATGATTTACTGTGAAATGGGTAAATCAGTCCATTATTACATTACTTATTGTTCTATTGGATGACTCCTAATGTAGCTAAGTGGAAGTATATTAAATTTTTATTTATTTCAGAATGACATTCGGCCTCTCTCAAACTCAGTACCTGGAGATGTGGGAAAAGCTGACCAATTAAAAGATGAAGGTAAATATTTACTTGGTAAAACTTTCTGAAACTCTGGATAATGTGACTCTATCAATGGATAAGATTCTGGTTTATACTGTGAAAGAGAAATGAAAGTGATAGAGAAGAAATCTAAAAGTATAGAACGGTTTGTGGCTTATTTCAAGAGAACCAGATCTGTTGTGTATAAAACATGCAAAACAAATAACTTAAGGGTCATCACTTGTAACTGTCTTTGTGTGTACTCTAGGATCCCAAGTTCTTCTTTATGCTTAGTCAGAGATGAAGATAATTGTCAGTATTATTTTAACTTTTGTATATTTAGTGTTTTTGAGTTCTTTGAAATTTTTCTTCTAGCCAACTAGTACCTTCCTGAAAATTGCTTTCAAATATTTTTGTGTGCTTTGCTTCTGAAGAGCGACAGAAAGAGCAGATGAAATTAAGAAGAGTTCTTTGTTGTTATTCCCTGACACATCACAGAAATATTGGCATATTTGATAGGGTTGTTTTGATAATTAAAGGAGACAATTTTGTAGGAGGGTGCCATGTAACTATTAAGTGCTGTGCAATGCTTAGTTATATTTATCTTCACAAAATTCATCATTTATGTCTTAAGTTTTGCATATTACATATTTTGTAACTTGAAGCTTTTTCATCAATATGTATAAATGTATTTATACATGTAGTATACGTATATTATTGTATCTATACATTTGAGGTGGTTTAGAGGAAAAGATATACAATAGGTTTTAATAATAATAATGTAATGATAATAAAACACCATCCCAAGACAAAAAGTTCCAATGGAAACAAGGACATCCAAATAACTCAGGAAACGTAAATCTTTTACATGGAAGAAGCAAATTTCTTTAAGTACCTCAGCTAATGTAGTTAACGTCTTACTTAATCATAAAAGCTAAGTATTCTTCTTAGCTGCTTTAAAAGCGTTATATTCATTTCTTTTTGGGTGTGGGGAGAAAATTAATTTTCTTAACTAAAAAAAAAGCCTTATTGAGCTATAATTCACATACCATTGCAATTTACTCCTTTAAAGTATATAAATTCATTGGTTTCTAGCAGATTCACAGAGTTGTGTAGCCATCACCATAATTATAGAACATTTTTATTGCCCTCCAAAGAAACTGTGCACCCATTAACAGCCACTCTGTATTCACTTCTGACTTAATTTGCAGTAACTTTTTATGATTTTAAGTGCTTTTGTCTACCTGCATTTAATTTAATCTTCCTGTTTCTGTTCCTGCAAAGAACAAAAAACAAAAATCCACTCCTCCTTCTCCCATTAATTAGCTAATGATCTATTAAAAAACAAACCTAATAGGAGAACTTCTGGTTTAGAGACAGCTGGAGGAATATAATAGAGCCTTTTGGGATGTAAATCCTTTCTCCTAGTGTTTTAAAATTTTTAATTTTTTAAGAATCAGATCTTTTTTCTCTTTAATGGAATACAAAAGATAGCCACAAGAAATCCCATTGTTAACCCAGCTAAATTATTCCTGGTGTATCTGCAGACGTTCTTCCTGAAAATCAGTACCCTGTGGGCTAGCCATATATCTGAAATTTTGTCTTTCTAGAAATTAATGTCTAATAAGCTCCTTTTCAAAAGAATCGGTGTCTGGAAGAGATAGCATACAAAAGTATTATCTGCCAGTAACATATTAGTGTGATTAGCTTTACAGCTTACCCACGCAGCGGTGGTGAGGGCTTGGCTGCTCAGCAGATGGACGTTTTGACAGGGAAGGAGCAGAAGGCCAGGTCTAGATTGAGGTGACAATTGAGGAGGGTGCTGCATTAAGATGGGGTGGCTCTAAAGGAAGGGAAGAGATGAAGATAAGGAAGGTGGGAATATATTAAATTTTGCCATGAGGTAATCATAATTGTTGCATTTACTCACTTATTGAAGCCTAAATTTTATAAGATATACCAGTACAAATATTAATTTTATTAAGACTCCACATTGTTGAAATCATTCAAACACACTGAAGACTAAGGCATATCAACTCCATTGTACAATATAAAATTTATCTCCTATGTTACTGAAAAATCATGTCAATCACTTTCATATTATTGGAGTTTCTGTGATTAATTTATCTTTCAGACTTTACATTTTCCCGTATATTGTCTTACTGTACCTACTGATTATTTTAGGCAATAACCACATGAAAGAAGAAAATTATTCTGCTGCAGTGGATTGTTACACACAGGCAATAGAACTGGATCCAAATAATGCGGTTTATTACTGCAACAGGTAAACTGGCATAATTGTGACAGGCTTATAGCTCTAAAGCATTTGCATTAATAGCTCTGAAGGAAAACTATAAAATTTATGGATAAAGAAGGAAAACAATAAACCCCAAACTCATACACTTTGCATTAAAGCAACCTGTTACTAACCTCTTGGCATATTTTGTTTGGTGTGTTATCAATTTTAGATTCAGCTTTATTCACTAGGCAGATCATTAATATGTTCTTTTATTGAAATCCGTCATTAATATTATTTAAGTTGATATAAATTAGTGTATTATTACCTCTTCATCTTTTTTATATTTCTAGCACCTATCATTGTGGTGGCAAACACTGTATTCTTTTACTAAATGGATAAAGTATCTTAATTAACTGTTGACCTACTGGGAGACATTGCGGTTCTTTCCTGTCCCCCAATATTATAAAGCTGCAATGAACATCTTTCTGAAATTATTATTTTTTTTTAGACTTTGGATTTATCCTTGAAAATTCACCCAGGAGGTCTAACAACATAAACATTTAAAAATTGTTGATGCAAATTACAAAGTTATTCCAATTTCTTTGAAAATATTCTGAAAATTAATTTCCTCTCCTAGGATTGTATGAGTGTACATGTTTTTACTACACCTTTATTGTTATTTAATATTGTTATTTTCATAGTAATTGTTTTAATTTATATTTAATTGTTGCTGAGGTTGGACATTTTTCAAACGTTGGCCATTTGCGGTTTCCTTTTTAATCTAAATGATCTTTTTGTACCTGTGCCACGCCTTACCTGTGTGCCCTTACACTTCTTTCTTTCTATTCTTGTTCTGCCCTTTTAAACAGAGGCCTGTCTCCTATAGGCTGCCTTTTTCAGGCTCCTTTGTCCCCTGAGTTTGGGCTGGGTTCAGCTATGGGAGGTGCTGGCAGGAGCCTGGAGGGCAGAAGGAAGGGAGAAGTTGTGGTATTTCTTCCTCTCTTTTGACATCAGGGTGGTTATCCAGCAGGGGCTGCTTCTCATCCTCGTGTCTAGCTCCCACCCAGGGTCCCTGCTATCCCAGCTTTTACCAGGTGATGTTGGGTTTTTGGACTCTGCCGTTCATCCTCTGTTTTAGGAAGTAACGGCTTCCTGTTACTGCTAGTCTCCGGATTGCTGCACAGCCTCCTGTTTGGTACCTCAGCTCTTCTATCAGCCGTGTAATGAATTCCCTGCACTAAATTATTCTGTTTTAAATATTGAAGTCCCAATAGAAGTTTCTGCAATGATGACAATGTTCTCTATCTGCATTGTCCAATACAGTAGCCACTAGCAAGAGTTGTTCTTGAGTACTCATAATGTGGCTAGTGCAATTGAGAAACTAAATTTTTAATGTTTAGTTAATTAATTTAATTTTGTATAGCTGCATGCGGCTTGTGCTACTATACTGGTATGACCGTTTTAACCAATCTGAAACTTTTTATAACAGAGCTTAAGCACCTTGTAGTCATTAGGTTCACTAGGATTTGTACTTGGTTTGTTAAATTTGGAGTTGAATCTCAGTTTGGCCACTTACTAGCTACGTGACCTTGGGCAGCCACTTAACCTTTTTGAGCCTCATTTCCTTGTAAAATAGAGATAATAGTAGTTGTGAGGAGTAGTAATATAAAGTCCCTAGCATAGTCCTAGGCCAGTGATGGCGAACCTTTTGAGCTCGGCGTGTCAGCATTTTGAAAAATCCTAACTTAACTCTGGTGCCGTGTCACATATAGAAATTTTTTGATATTTGCAACCATAGTAAAACAAAGACTTATACTTTTGATATTTATTTTATATATTTAAATGCCATTTAACAAAGAAAAATCAACCAAAAAAATGAGTTCGCGTGTCAGAGGTGTCATAGGTTCGCCATCACTGTCTAGGCTTTCAATATATGTTTCTTTCAGAAACAATCTAATTCCTAGTTGTAGGAACAGGTTTTTCGTATAATTTATTTATGCATAATAAATACAGGGTGGGGAAAGTAGGTTTACAGTTGTGAGTACCCAAAACACAGAGTTTATTCTGGTATTGCTATTTATTAATTATTGTATTATTTTCCATACAAACAACTGTAAACCTACATTGCCCTCCTCTGTAGTATGGGAAATGTAAGGTACCTGTGACTTTTCTGCCTTATTTTTCATAAAAATAGAGTGCAAATAACTCATGCTCTTGCTCTAACAAGCTAAAGAAAGCAAGGTTGCCTGCAAACATGGTGACTGGCTGTAGTGTTATGCTGGAATTTCATTAGTTATGCCCTGATAACCAGACAGCAGGGGCAGACAGCCCAGACCACATTGTTATTCAGTTCAGACACTGGCATGTTTGGCTTCATCTCACAAGAGATTCAAATATAGCCTGACTTCTATTCCCTTTTCCGGCCTCAGAGGTCTTTCTTTTGTGAGCTGCACAAATCTGCTTTCATCCTAGCTTGCAGTTGGTGATCTGAAGCTAAAGCTATCAAGATTGAAAGTCATCCTCTTCTCTCTTCCACCCACTCTCCTTTCTGGGTCTGACTCTTACGGCTTTAGTCCTGGTTTCGTTATCAGTATCTAAGGCCAGCAATCAGGGCGTCTTCTGCTGTTTCCCTTTTACCTCCCCAATAGCTCATTTGTTCCCTCCTCCTTTTCCATCACTGCTCCTTAGTCCAGGCGATTACCTTTTGCTAGACTAGTGGTTTACAGTTTCAACTTGCACTCCCCACTCCGTCTTCTGCCCAAAGGATCTTTCTAAAATGTGAAATTAATCATCTAATTCTTCCTTTCTGTTCACTAGTTCTAAATACTTTCATGATTGAATTTAAGCTCCTCAGCATGATACATAAGATCTTTTATAATCTGGGCTCTTTTTTTCTTTTAACTTCATTAGCTCTACTTTTCTTCCTCTCCTGTTCCTCTTCTCTCTACTCTCTATGCACATGTAATATGAAATTTACTGACTAAAAACATACCATGTTAGGACATCTCTCCATGCTTTTATGTACTCCTTCCTCTGCCTAGAATATTTCCTGCCTTATCTAATTGGTCAACTGCTATTCATCCTTCAAGACCCTGGTAGGGATTGCTTCTCTTGGGAAGACTCTTAATTTCTTCTGTCCGCAACCTCCTGACCATGCCCCTGCGCCCTTTCCTGCCACATCCAATGGAGTGGTGCTGTCCAATATGGTAGCTCCTAGCCACGTGCAGCCGTTCAAAATGTAAATTAATTAAAATTAATAAAATAACAAAGTAAAAATTAATAAAATAAAATTGCACTGGCTGATCTTAAGTAGTCTTTAGTCACATGTGGCTAGGCATTACTGTACTGTCTAGCACAGACAAAGAACTTTGCTATCATGGGAGTTCTAGTAGACAGCTCTGTGTAGGGTTAACCACACCTTTCCGTGTTGTCTCTTCCTTTGATACTTCCATTGTATTCCTCATACTATTTATTTATTTACATGTCTATTTCTCTATTAAACAAGGAAAGATTGGAAGACAGAGATATATTTTCTCCATTTCTGTATATCTGCCTGGTTTTGAGTTCAGGGCTTATCATGTTATAGATGTTCAACAAAAGTTTGAGTTGAATTGATTCAGTGAATTTTAGATGGGAGAATTGCCTCAACTTGAAGACTTCTAATGTGAAGCAGTCACATGGCAGCATGTTTTATATATGTGTGTGTGTATATATACTATTTCCTCATATATGTCTATAAAGAAGAGCTTTCTTAACCTTTCTCCCCTTTCCACTTTCTTTCTCATTCCCCTCCCCTAACTCTCTGAGCATAATTATAGACTTGTGAATATTTAAAAATTCACTAATTGGTGTGTTACAATAAATCATCGTAATTGTTATTTTCTCCCATATTTGGCTAGTGGGAGCTCCTTTAAACTGCCCTAGATGTGAGCTCAGCTATTTCTATAAGTAGCCCCTGTTCCTTTGAACAGAGAATGGTGTTTAGAAACCAAGACCTGGTTGTAAGAGGTGGCCATTGCTACTGAAATGTTATTGCTTCTAGGTCCTTTCAGTGGACAGAGCTAGGAAATATGAAGGGTTTTTTTTTTTTAAGTCATCAATTTATACAGATAACTTCAATTTACATTTCAGTGTCACAGAGATCTCCCTTACTTCTCCCATTTTACATTTGTATCTCTCTTCTCCCGGAACAAAAACCCTGTTTTCCAACTCATCAGTATCTTTACTCATCAGTTCTATCCTTCAGTTGGTATTACACCAATACTACAACACTAGTAAGTCTAAGTCAACTTCAGAATTTCTTTGAAATTATTTTTTTCCTTAGAATATATCTCACTAAAGGATAGACACTCAAAGTACTGTGCTTGAACGTTACTTGAATTCTTTTTCTAAATATCCAGTTAGAATAATTTGTTTCTGTTTTATTCAGTATGAAGGTTTCTTTTTCATCCTTTCTGATGTCTCATTCCCATTTCTATCCCATCTACCCTGTTCCCACCAATCCTCTATAGGATGAAAGACTCTAGAGGTTTGACTTCTGAGCCATGTAAATGTTTCCCTTAAAATTAAACAAAAAAGGATGATCAATAAATAATGACTCTATCCTTAATAATGCTCATTGCCTTATGTCTGGTATTGTTTCTATACCAGTTTTCTTTTGCTAGGTTTTCAGTTTGCCTGATTTCTTTTTCTATCTTCTTCAAACTCCAACCTATGTGTGATTATGTGGTTTTTTTAAAAATATTTTTTTATTGATTTCAGAGAGGAAGGGAAAGGCAGAGAGAGATAGGAACATCACTGATGAGAGAGAATCATTAATTGGCTGCCCCCTCATGCCCCACACTGGGGATTGAGCCTGCAACCCAGGCATGTGCCCTCACCAGGAATCAAACTGACCTCTTGGTTCATAGGTTGATGTTCAGCCACTGAGCCATGCTGGCTGGGCTGATTATGTTTTAAGTGATTTCTTAAGTATATAATTTGAGAATCCCATTTTCATCTAGGCAACTTTGTGATTACTTATGTATTTGAATTGTTTTCTGCTATCTTATTTTTTTGGTTTCTTTTCCTCCCTCCCCCCTTTGTGTGTGTGTGTGTGTGTGTGTGTGTGTGTGTGTGTGTGTGTGTGTGTGTGTTTTATTGTGTTGATTGAGTTATTTTACTTCATTTTCTTCCTTTCTAATTATTTGAAAGTGATACGCTTTATATCTCTTCTTTTAATGGTCATCCTTGTCACACTATTAGTTTGCATCGAGTATTCAGTCAAATAGCTATACCTCTTTTCCACATTACCTAACAAAACAGGTTTGTTGAATTCTGTATTTTCACACGTAATTTTTTTTAACTGAAGCAAAGGAGACTGTTTATTCCCTCCCCCACAATTTTATAATCTTAGTTTTCGAAGTAAGGGTCTCAAGCATACTGTAAGAAGAAAGGTTGACAAGGAATTGGACTCAACCCAGGGATCTAAGCATGATTGAGGGCAGGAATATTATTTTAATTACTGCTCTATCTATTATGCCTAGAAAAGTGTCTGTGCCTTAGTGAGCCCTCAATAGAGATATTAGTTGAATGAATAAAGTAGAAATATTTAGTCTGGAGAATGAATGGGGTGGAAGTGGGATGCAGGACAGGAGACATTTGGGAACTTTTCAGTTTGAAGGACATGCATGTTGAACAGACATGCTACCTGTTTATTATGGCCCGGAGGACTGAAGTCAGTGCTCCACTAGGGAAACAGAGCTGCCTACTCTCAGGATTGTGTGGAGGGGTAGTGAGGGGCTTTGTTACATTGTCAGGTCCCAGACTTTATTCCAGAAAGTCTGCTAGAGATAAACTGGGATTAAAAAGTCCTTAATTGTTCTGGAATACATATTCCATCTAAGTAGATGGAATACATTGCCATCCTTAATTTACAGCCAGACTTAGGCACATGGTTAAATTGGGGTTTTCAATTTAGACTTGTCCAGTGATCTTAATGTTGCTAGTATAGTGATCATTTAACAGCACAACACTCTGAATAGCCATTCACAGCAGTCAGTCCCTCTGTGTGCCTTCTTAGTAATCCCAAATATCCTAGCATTCTCAGTTTTCTGTTTGGGCAAATTAAAAAGGCATTAAGTAGGTAGATCAGTTGTATGGCTTGCATATTTTGTCTTTTCTATAGCAAAGCGAACAGTGAAAGGCAACTTTCATAATTTCTCTGAATTTTGTTTCTGCGTGTGTTTTTTCATTTGATTATGGAATTTTCTTAAGACAGTTTGATTTAGATGTTTCCTGGGAGTGAATATACAAATTGGGACAAGGAAAATGTTGTTGTATTAGAATCTGAAAATCTAAATTAGTGTCTTGAAGGATGCTTATAACAAAAAATCTCTTCTTTTTCCCTTAGGGCTGCTGCTCAGAGTAAATTAGGTCACTACACAGATGCAATAAAGGATTGTGAAAAGGCAATAGCAATTGATTCCAAGTACAGCAAGGCCTATGGGAGAATGGGGTAAGTTCTGGGAGAATGTTCAAAGTAGCACCAAGTTGTATCAGATATGCTGTTCTTACTGGCTTGATTTTGAATTTCCTGCTTAATATTGCATCTTCTCAACTTACAAGAAGATAAATATAACACTGAGTGAGGAAATGACTGCAGTTTCTGTGACTTGGGCGAGAGATGATTGAAGATGTATGAAGAATGGTTGGTTGGTGGAGAAAATCATATAACCATAATGAGTAGACTCACTTCATGTTGAAGATACAGGTCTCATGAGCACCCAGTATTTTGGGGCAGACAGTCCTAATAGATACTTCCTTCTAAGCTCACCTTACCACTCTGAGTTGAGTGCTTCACACCTACTCTTCTCTCTTCAAATTTTCTCTCCATCCTCCATGGTACTCTTAGTTGATGATATTACTTTATACTTCATTGAGAAAATGGGTGCATTTAGAAGAAAAATAGCTCATCTTCCTGCTGCCAAATCCACTGATCTACCTGCATTTGTATCTACACAGACTGCCTTTTCTCCTGTTAAAAATGGAAGGGTTCTTATCTAAGACTGGTGCCTTCATGCATGCTTTAGATCTCATCGCTTTGTACCTTCTCTAGGGCTTTACATTTGTAATCATCTGCTTTATCTTTGGCAACACCAGTTTTCCTGTCTGTAACAGCGATAATGACTGCATGTGAAATCGTCAGGGAATCATCCATTGGAACCATCCTTGCACACAGCTACGTCATTTGTCAGTTCCTTTCTCTACAAAGCCCCTGATAGCAGTCTGCACTTCCTATCTCATCTTCCTCACCTCTCATTTTCTCTTCAGCTCATTCTGATAGGGCATTTGTCTATATCACTCAACTGAGAGCTCTATTCAAGGTGACCAATTGTTCATATTGCGCTAAGGCCAAAGGGCAATTCTGTATCCTCACCTATCCACCTTTTAGTATATTGCATGATTAACTTATTTTGAAACACTTCATACTCTAGGTTTCTGTGATGCCACACATCTTGGTTTTCCTTCTACTTTACTGTTCTTTCCCAGTCACCCTTACTGCATCTTCCTTTTCTACCAACTCTAATGGTGCACTTCAGAGCTCTGTCCTCTCCTCTGAGGCTGTTGTCTGTCTATTCTCTCTTCTGTTTTCATCCTGATGCCTTTAAATTCCACTTAAAGTCTATATTAATTATTCATGGGTTCTGTATTTATGAATTCACCTACTTGCTAAAAAAATTTTGATAACCCCAAAATCAAGTCACTGTGCTTTTGTGTTCATTCAGTTTGGTGAAAAATTTGAGTCACCTGATGTGCAAGGTCTCAGCTGAGGTGCATAAGGCCATACTCTGCCTTTTTGTTTCAATTCTCATGCTGTAAACAAGTGTCCTTTTTGCAGTTTATTTAATGCTATATTTTTTGCATTTTTGTGTCTTTTGTTGTTGATTTCCCTGTTTACAATGGACCCAAACATAGACTGAAGTGTTGAAAAGGGTTCCTAAGTGCAAGAAGGCTGTAATGTGCCTTTCAGAAAACATACATGCTAGATAAGTTTTGTTCAGGCATGAGTTAGTGCTGTTGGCTGTCAGTATGATACTAATGAATTAATAATATATACTAAATAAGGTTTCTTTAAGCAGAATCACATATAAAAGAAGATCATGTATCGATCATTTGATGAGAATGTTGTGACCAAAACCTCACAGGAACTTAACCCTGTATTTCCCCTAGGAATGATTGTTTAGTATTTCTTAAATCAGTGTTTGTGGGGACTTTATAGAGCATAACTACTCTGAATAATGAGAATCAACTCCATATGTTGATGGATCTCTTAATTTACTGTATATTTTAAGTTATATGTCTGAATTCCATATCATATTAACTTCTTTTCATCTGTTTATATGTTTAACTAGAGGGCTGGTGCATGAAATTCGTGCACGGGGACGGGGGGGGACTCCCTCAGCCTGGCCTGCACCCTCTTGCAATCCAGGACCCCTCAGGGGATAACCAGCAGTCAGACATCCCTTTTGCAGTCTGGGACCGCTGGCTCCTAACCCCTCGCCTGCCTGATCACCCCTACCCGCTCACCTGCCTGCCTGATCCCCCCTAACCACTCACCTGCCTGCCTAATCCCCGTAACCGCTCGCCTGTCTGCCTGCCTGATCGCCCCTAACCACTCGCCTGCCTGCCTGATTGCCCCTAACTGCCTCTGCCTGCCTGCCTCATCACCCCTAACCACTCACCTGCCTGCCTGATCATCCCTAACTGCCTCTGCCTCAGTCCCTGCCAAAAGACGTCTGGAATGACGTCCAGAAGGTCATTTGGCTGTCCGGTCTAATTAGCATATTATGCTTTTATTATTATAGATAGGCATTTTAAATTTAACATGCCCCAAACAGGACTCTTATTCCCTTCTTTAGTCTTTCCCATTTCAGGAAATGTTACCATCATTCACCTACCAGTGCTTGGGTCAAGCCTAGGAGTCATCCTTTATTCTTATTATACTTAACACATCTATCAGCAAGTCCTGTTAATTCTAGTTTCCACATACACATATCTTAAATTGAAGCATTGATTGCTACCTTGTTTATAACACTAGTCCAAATTGCCATCTCTTACCTGGGCTACCACAGCAGCTTCCTAACTGGTTTCTCTACTCCCCCATCCCCCCCAACTAACACCCCATGTTGATCCTCTGCAAAAAAAGCCAGAGAGAGCTTTCCAAAGCATAAATCAGATCATGTCACTCCACTGCAACTAGAATAAAATCCAGACTTCAAACCCTAGTTCTATATTATCTGGCACCTGATAACTCCCTGACATCACCTCTTTCCACACTGCTTTCTGTGCTCTCTCCTCATCAGCCTTTGTCCTGTTCCTGGAGCATACCTCACTCGCTGGCTTGGTTCCCAGGCCTTTGTGTCTACTGCTGTTTCTATTTAGCATGCTACTCCCTGATCTTCATATGCCTGCTTTCTTCTCGTCATTCAGGTCTTCTTAGTGTGGCTGTCTTTGAGCAGCTGCCCTATTCATTTTCTTAATATTACTCTTTTTTCTTTGCATATTTATTGTTTGCTTTCCCTAGGTAGAATGACATTTTCATAAATTCAAGAACTTTACCTTCTTTCATTGTGGATTATAAAATAGTGTCTGGTGCACAGTAGGGCTTCAGTAAATATTTATTGACTGTTGATTAACTGAGGACTTTGATGAAGCATCTTTCAGGTTGACTGGTAGAAAACTAATTAGGGTCTGAGAATTTTTCTGTGGTTAGGCACAGTATTTTATCCAGGTTGGAAGTCTGTGAGGTAAGCCAGCTGACTTAGATAGTTTGTTTAAAACAAAAACCTCAATACTGTATCTCCATTTATACCATTATTGTTTAGTTCTGAAGTAGTTTTCCAATAAATACATTCTAACTAGGTGGAGGAAAACAAAAATTAAATAACTAAATCTGTGACTGGGGTAATAATGTCTTAAGTTGTAAAGGATGCTAATTTTATCTATTTAACAACTAACATGTCTTGTTTAGGAGTGCCCCACAGCCTATTTTTATTTTTTAAGGTGAATTGATATTTATTGTGACTCTGTCTCTGCTAGAACATAGGAAGAGAGTTGACATTCTGAAGCACAAATCTAGTTCAGAGTCCTTAAAATTAGTTTAACACCATGGAGTTACATGACCACAGGATGGTTAGTTAGCTCGCATCTATGTGGAGTTTAATCATTCATAAAGCAAGTTATTTCACATATGGAAGGGGGTAGGTAAGGTTCATTCCTAAGCATTAAGTTCATGGTTAATATAAGCTAGCCAAGATTGTCAGCAAGCAGAATGGAGAATCCAGACTTACAGAATCTTGGAAATAGAAGGAATTTTAATGATACTCCTGTGAACCATAGTATAATGAATAAATTAAGTGTAATTTGGATTCTAGTTGAATATCAAGACAGCTGTTTGACTACGTTTGTGATATCTTGATATTCTTTAACCATATATTTTATACCCATATACTTTATTCTTTTCAGGCTGGCCCTCACTGCCATGAATAAATTTGAAGAAGCAGTTACAAGTTATCAAAAGGCATTAGATCTTGACCCTGAAAATGATTCCTATAAGTCAAATCTGAAAATAGCAGAACAGAAGTTAAGAGAGGTATCCAGTCCTGTAAGTTATTAATGCTGAATGAGTGAAATATTTTCTGTCATTCACAATTTATTGTAATCAGATTGTAGTGGTTAGAATAATCCTCATATATAATTCTTCTACAGACAGGAACTGGATTGAGCTTTGACATGACTAGCTTAATAAATAATCCAGCCTTCATTAGTATGGTAAGTATATTTCCTTTTCTGCTTTGCTGGCTCTGTTTTTCATGAAGCAATATAGTTCTAACACATTTTAGAAACAAATAAGGGAGCTTTTGTAGTGGCGGAGGTGGTGGTGGTAATAGGATGGTGATGTAATGCTATGGCTGAGATTTTTAACCTGCCTGTGTATCTGTTTGTGAGAAAGCCATGGATAAACTTCAGGAAACCAATGGATTCCCTGAAATTGTATATGAAAACTTGTGTACAAGTGGCTATGTGCATTTTTTTTAGGGAGAGAACCATATTTTTCATTAGATTGGCACATGGATCTGCAAATTTACAAAAGGGTGAAGACCACTCTTACAAGAAAATGGCCCTAGGAAGATATCTAGTAACTGAGTTCTGAGGATTTGGTTATTGTGGTTCCCTATGCTCTCCTTTCAGCATTGTCTGCTTCCTTTCTATTTTAATTTGACTTTTTAGTATAACCTATAATAATAAAAGCATAATATGCTAATTAGACCTGACAGCTGAACAACCTTCTGGACGTCCTTCCGGACAAAGCCCCAGTAGCAGGGGCTGAGGTAGAGGCGGTTAGGGGCGATCAAGCAGGCAGGCAGACGAGCAGTTAGGAGCCAGCAGTCCTAGATTGCGAGAGGGTGCAGGCCGGGCTGAGGGACCCCCGTCCCTTCCCATGCATGAATTTCATGCACTGGGCTTCTAGTTCATATATAAACTCCATTCTTCAAACCAACAATATTACTTATAGATCTTTTTGAAAACACACATGTTCTGGTATATATAAACTCTGGTTTAGTGCATCAAGGATGTTACCTGGGTATATAAAGCTCCTTGGGTGACTGTATACTTCTGGCTGAGAACTAGACTACCAGATGCTATGCCCCTTGAAGGCAGTAATACTTCTTTGTTTCCTTCAAAAAATGTCTTGCATCCACTACATCTTCAGCTGAATTGAAATACAGATGGCGCATTCCTAGTGAGATAAAAAAGTCTTTTTGAACAATTGTTAGGTTTGTAGCAATTGGTAGTTTAAAATTGTTAGTTGAAGTCTTTGTAGACAGTAGTTGTCTTTTAATCACTGATCCTAAATGAGGTGTTGGGAAAGCCACCACTTGCTTTTATTACCAGAAAAATACTGTTGAAGTGACTTGCAAGTAATTCAATAACTCTTGAGTCTCAGGATTGAGGCCAGATTTAAGATGTCTTGCTACCTAACTAGTAAATGTATGTCTCTTTATAGGCTTTGTGACATTTTTGAGCATTGTTACTCATATCTAGGCCTCAGGTTATGCTATTGTAATAGGATGTGAAAATGGATTTCAGTTTCCAATTCAGCTTATCCCTCAAGATGCTTGAAGTGAGGTGTGAGACTATCATACAGGAGGAGCAGAAGGTGGAGCTTAAAAACACTTTGTGTGACATTCTTAAAAAGGGTCAGGTTGATAGAGATTAAAAGAGGATTTGGGGGGACAGCTATTGGAGTTACTACTGTCTACACAGATTTAGGCTCAATTAAAAATTTACATGAATATTGTTGACTAAAAATTTGAGGCAAAAAAATTGTTTATGCTTTCAAAATGTAGTTTTAATGTATATGTGTGTATAAATACAACTCCCCTCCCCCTTAGCATGGCAAGAATGGCAGCTATTAAGCCCATGGAATCAGGTCACATGTCTTACAGTACTCTTTGAAGTGAAGCCTCTCCAGTGTAGGAGATGCTTTATACTTTTCAAGTTCCTATTTCTCCATTTGGCATTATTGATCTGATCAGTAGTAATAAGTTAATATCTGTAGTTTATCATGTTTGTAGTCTCTCTACCCTTGCAAAGTATTTTAAATGCCATCATTTTCTAGTACCTTTTTTATATTCCCATTCACTTTATATAGCACACTAAAACTCTACAGAATGTTAGTACACACATGGTTTAGCTTTCATTTTTCTGTTTTTATAAAAAGAAATCTTTGTTAAAGATCCCTAAATATTAACTACCTTTAATGGGAGATGCCATTTTTGAATTCCAGGCAGCAAGTTTAATGCAGAATCCTCAAGTTCAACAGCTGTAAGTATATAGAACGAGCATACTACATTTCCCCCTTCTACTTGCAAGCTCCTAATTTGAGCACATCAGCTCCCAAATGAAAAAAACTACCGAGACTGCCAGTAATTGGCACTTAAAGTCACACACATTTAGCCTAATGCTCTACATCAGGGGTCCTCAAACTACGGCCTGCGGGCCACATGCAAATACAAATATTGTATTTGTTCCCGTTTTGTTTTTTTACTTCAAAATAAGATATGTGCAGTGTGCATAGGAATTTGTTTATAGTTTTTTTTTAAACTATAGTCCGGCCCTCCAACGGTCGGAGGGACAGTGAACTGGCCCCCTGTTTAAAAAGTTTGGTGGGTATATTTAATTCTTTTCTTTGGCCAGTATCCTCCTTGTTAAGACTATATGCCAATCCAGTGATTTACCTCTTGCCTACTCTAGAATGTCAGGAATGATGACAAATGCCATTGGGGGACCTGCTGCTGGAGTTGGGGGCCTAACTGACCTGTCTAGCCTCATCCAAGCGTAAGTGTTACTTGAAATAGAAATAGTAAAAAAGTGTTAGTCTTACAGTTTTTCTGTAGTTAAAATAGAAAGTTTTTAAAAGTACTTTATGTTTTATAGTTTGTCTCTAAAGTGAGGGGATCAGGACTTTTTTTTTCCAATCCTCTAAGACATTTTTCCATTGATTTTTAGAGAGAGTGGAAGGGAGGGAGGAGGGAGAGAGAGAAACACCAATGTTGACTAGATGCCTTCCGCATGCAGCCTGACCGGGGCTGGGTATCAAGCCTGTAACAGACTTATGTGTCCTTGACTGGGGATCAAACCCACAACCCTTTGGTCCTTGGGCTGATGCTTTAACCACTGAGAAGCTGGTGGAGGCAGAGGCTTTCCTTTTGAATTTTTATCATTTACTGTTAGTATCAGTGGCCTCACTAGATTAAATTTAAAAGTAGTTCATAAGTTGGGATTTTCAGACTGAAGGGCAGGAATCCACTCAAGAAAACGTTTTTCAGCAGATTTGAATAGCTACTCAAGGATGGAGATTGAAGTCAAGTAGCTACTCAAAATCTGCATTGACTTAGGTAAACATATATATTTAAAAATCAAATTTTACATATATACCAATGTTCAGACAATCTAGGACAGAATTTTATCCAAACTCTTCAGTGCATGTCATCACTAGAGGAACTTCTTGCATCACCTCATTTCTTCACTTCTACCAAGTGCTTAAAATAGTCTGCTCCTTGAATCTGTGTGATGCTGTCACTGCAGATTTTACCCGAAGCCATAAGTATCAATTACTGTTTGTAGTCATGGCCATGTGGCCCCATTTGCAACATTGCATTTTCAGAATGTTCTTTAAGTGGCATGATTATAGCAATGTCTAACGCTCCCAATTGCGGGTCACACATCAGGAATCGTATTAAATTTCTCTAACTTTTTAAAAATTAGTTCTATTCAGTGACTTCTATACACATCCCCACATGGGTGTACCATCCTGTCATAGGGAAGACTATTAAAACTTGACTACAAGAGCAAATACCTTGTAATATGTTTAAGCACACACAATAAGAGCACATACTTTTGGACCCTTTGTTTATTCGTGGTTAGGCACTAGAGGGGGGTGTATTCCCCCAATCTAGGATCTTTTTGGCTTGGGTGTTTTGCTTCTTATAAAGAACAATGCCTTTTAATAATGCTATATGGAGGCAATGGTAAACTTGCAGATACTACAGTTGTGATTCTAAAACTTGTCTTTCTAGAACTTCCCTTTGAGTAGCACCCACATCCTTTGCAGTCCGTTTTTATGGGTATTGTGTGACTGGGAATTCCCTAATTCATACCACTTTGCCCTTTCACTTCCAGGGGACAGCAGTTTGCTCAGCAGATACAGCAACAGAATCCTGAACTCATAGAGCAACTGAGAAATCACATCCGGAGCAGGTCATTCAGCAGCAGCACGGAAGACCACTCCTGACTCTAGATCAGGGATTCTAGACTGGAAACGGTTACTGCTCTGAAGTGTTTGCTGTAGATAGTGGCCAAAAAACAAAAACAAAAAACCTACAGAATACATCTGTGTAGACAATAGGTTTATCACAAACAGACTTCACCGTAATGTGACTCCTTTGTAAATGAATGGTCACTCAACAGGGTTTCATTTTCACATCTTCATCGTCATATCTGTATGCTAGACTTAATAGCAGTAAGGCTGTTTATTGGTGAGTGCTCTGGCTCCCAATTCCCTTCAGCAAACTTTCTGAGAGGGAAGATGACCAAGAGGAAAGGTTTCACATGCTGGGTTAAGAGCAACGTGCTTGCCCATGAGCAGCACGTCTGGAGAGAACTTTGATATCTAGGTTTAGCCTTGAGAATGCCATCAGTGATGAATATATATCACAGGAGCCAGCACTGTCTTTAATGCTGCTCATTTTAATGGGTGGCAGGGAAGCATCAGAGCTGGTAGAAAGCAGAATTTGGTGGAAGGGTTGTTTGAAAAGAAAGAATAGATGCTGTGAATGTATAGAAAGTGAAGGTAGGTAGGATGCTCAGGTTTTTGCCTAGTTTTTAATTAATCTTGCCTGTAGTTTGGTATTTATAACATTAGCATGGCTAATTATACTATGTACATAATAAAATACATTTAGAAATCCTTAATGGTACTGGTTAGGCCAGTTGTATAACTATTCAGTTTAACTAGCACAACATCCCCAGTGGTGACCTTACCATGAAAACTCTCAAATATACCTACATTAAAATAAGCCAATGGCTTGGCTCTTAAGTTAAGGATTTTCTAAGTGGCATTTAATTATGTGCCCATAAACACTGATTTTTTTTTTAAAAACACCTCAGTAATTATTTGATAGAATACAGAAAGCATCTGTCATTAACAGTGCTTGTTCGTGTAATCCTCTGCTATGATTTGGTTTGGCATGTTGCTTTTATGCTTAACTTAATTTGATGCAACTTAAACATAATAGGGGATTTAAAATATGACATTTAAATTAGAATACATATTAGTGGAGAGAAGTGGCATTGTTCGGTATTAATGGCACGGCTCTAACTATAGTGATGGAGGAGGCTGTTCTAATTGGAATTTCTTTTGTTTGTTAATTATGAAATAGGTAAAGTTGGGCAGACACATGATGTTGCAAGTGTTGTGAGAAAAAACTGTAAAAGAATGTAATATTAAATTAGTAATACTGATAATAGTCAGGGCATTATTAGAACTATTCTCCTCAAAAGAGAATAAAGTTTAAAAACCTTTTTCTCTCTTTCCCTTTGTGAGATTAGACTAGTGGTTCTATAGTTTCACTGTAAGAGTCACCTGGTTTATTTGCTGAAAATGCAGATTCAGGACCACACTTTCAATTTTTATTTAATAGGTCCTGTAAAAAGGCCCAGGAAGCACCATTTTAAACAGTACGAGGTTAGAGATTTCTCCTCAATTTGACCAGCAAATACCTAAACCCCACTCTGGGCTTAGGCCACAATGAAGACTTAAATGAACCTTCAGTTCTGTCCAGAGAAGAGAAGGACTTAAGTTTTAGGCCCTCTGAATTAAATCTCCTCTATTCCATCTAAACCAATATAATTTTTCATAAATTCAGCTCCTAGTGTCCAAGGATTATAGAGAATGAAGGACTAATTATATGAATATGATGACATTGATGAAAAGAAAGCAAAGCTGATCCTTAATTAAAAATCAGTCAGTTATCCAGTGTTGAGTAAGAAAAAGTTTCTAGCATAGCTATCTTGAGTGCATTAAAAATGCTTTCAGCCCTGGCTGGTGCGTTCAGTGGTTAGAGTGCCAGCCTGTGCACCAGAGCAGCAGTTGCCAACCTTTCGGACCTCACAGGCCACCAGTGGTCCGCGGACCACCGGTTGACGACCGCTGCACCAGAGGGTCCTGGGGTTTGATTCCTGGTAAAAGGCACGTACCTGGGTTCGTTTTTCAAGTGGCAGGCAACCAATTGATGTGTCTCTCTCACATCGATGTTTCTCTCTCTTCTCCTTCCACTCTCGCTAAAAAAAAAATCAATGGAAAAATATCCTCGCTCCTTGGGTGAGGATTAAAAAAATGCTTTCAGATTGATAAACTAGTAAGCCTCTAGCTCACTGACTAGGGAAATAGAGAACATACAAATCAATAATGTCAGAGGTGAAGGAGGGGATATCAATGCAGACATTAGAAAATACCACAGGATCATTAGAAAATACTACAACCAACTTTAGGTCTATATATTCAACAATATTAACTTAAAAAAAATATTTTTTGTAAGATAGCTAAAGCTCACTGAAGAAACAGATATTTTCCAGAAAAGAAAGCTCCAGTCCCAAACAATTTATTTCAATGGGGAATTCTATCAAAAAGTTAAGGGAGAAATAATATCAAGCTACACAATCTTCTAGAAAATAGAAAAGGAGAAAGTACCTCACAACTCATTTTACATACATATTAATCTGATACCAATATTAGACATATTATAAGCAGAACCCTTTACATCAATGTCTTGATTTGCTAATATCTGCTGTGAAGATTACTTATTTACAATAATAGGAATTGGTGTATTTATTCCTTTTTACCTCCTAGATTGTTTCTTTGCTAATATACTACACATACCAAATTCAGTCTAAATGATAGCAGTTCCCTCACCTGGATTTCCATCTGATTCAAGCCATTTTTGCTCAAGTATCTTCCTCATTTTGGAATCACTGCATTTCAAGAAAGTTTTGTGTAGTTGGATTGTGCTAGCTACTCATAAGATTGTAAGAAATGCCCCAAATATTTTATTCTTGCTTATCTAAAACAGGGCATTAAGGTAAATATTTATATACAATCTACTTAGGAATAACTGCTTACATTAACCACATTTCATTGTAGTAGCTGTAGCTATGATGCTATGTAAAACGTAAAGTATCTTTTTTATGCAAATGACACTTTCATTTAATGTAACAAATTGTTTATCTAATTTTTATAATGTGGTTTAAACAGATCCTTTCTAAAATAAGATTATCTTTTATTTAAAGAATGAACAATATGTGTCTAGGTTATTGTTTGTAAAAAGAGACTTTGTAATCAAATCAAATTATATAGCAGATTCCAAGTGACCCATTATATGCTACTTTTTAAATTTGAAACAGAGTGAAACTGAAGGTCTGATCATGAGAAGATGCTTGAAAAACCATGGACGTACCCAGTGCAGTGGCTATAAAGTCTTATTTATCATTTAATCAATCTTATTCATTTGGAAGAGAGAGATATTTTACACTGTTTACACTTTATCTTGCACACACATTTCACTTATTACTCAAATTTAAGGGGCAAATCTCACTTCAAATATAGCCTTCATTTTGGACCAATTTGTCATGGCAATAAATAATTATGCATTTAAGAAAAAACAATTATTGTATTTGACTTAATGTACTCTTACATTTAAGCAATTATATATATATATATATATATATATATATATACTAGAGGCCCAGTGCACGAATTTGTGCACCAGTGGGGTCCCTCGCCTGGCCTGTGGGATCGGGCCAAAACCGGCTCTCTGACATCCCAGAGGGATCCCGGATTGTGAGGGTGCAGGCCAGGCCAAGGGACCCCACCGGTGCACGATCAGGGGCGGGGAGGGACGCGGGAGGTTGGTCAGCTTGGGCGGGCGCTGGGGTGTGTCCAGCCCATCTCACTCAGTCCCGATCGGCCAGACCCCAGCAGCAAGCTAACCTACCAGTTGGAGTGTCTGCCCCCTGGTGGTCAGTACACGTGATAGCAACTCGTCGACCAGTCGAGTGTCTGCCCACTGGTGGTCAGTGCACATCATAGTGGTTGAGCGGCCTTAGCAGATCATTAGCATTAGCTTTGGTTGGTTGAACAGACAACTGGACACTTAGCATATTAGGCTTTTATTATATAGGACAATTTTACATTTCTACTTACCAAAATAAGTGTTTATTTAACAGCATAACCTTTTATTTTCCTGACAAAATATTGAAAACATACTCATGTTGCAAAGTTGTTTTCAATCTTTTTCACTATTTTATTCAAGGTATAAGTAAAATTAGTAAAATTAGTGTGATTATATGCAGAGGTAGAAAGTTTTAGAATATTAATACATGATTTAGAATTCAAAGTCAAATATCAGAAGCTGGAAATTCTTTAAATATGCCTATGAAAATAAGTGGCTTTTTTTTTATGGGGAAAAAAAAAACAGGATTTTGGGACTTAGAAAAGAGTCAAGCTTCTTAGTTAAAAGTTAAGAGAGTAAACAATAAGAATTAAAACCAATTCTGATGTGCTGTTGGTAACTGAAACTTAGACATGTGCGGGTTTATATGTATACACTAACACAGGTACTCACCAATACACTAATTTTGAAAACAACTAGAAGAATTCATACTCTGTTAGTAAATGCAAGGTTATTCGAGGACCATCTCAGTTGTTTTAAACAACTTTTTCTGTTAACTGAGGAGCTAGGAAAAATCTGGACTTAACTGAAATATTACTAAATAACATATAAAAATTCTTAAGTTTTAAGAAACAGTTGTACCTAGATCAAGGTCAGTAAACTATGGCCTGCAGGCTGGCTGCCTGATTTGTAAAACCCAGTGTGCTCTTTTGGCCAACTGGCTGCTCTCGCACCACAACAGAAGAGTGGAGTATCTTCAATAGAAATCACATGGCCTGCAAAGCTTAAAATATTTAATATCTGGCCCTTCACATAAAAATTTTGCTGATGCCTGGTCTAGATACTTGCTAGGGACAAATGGCCTCAAAAATAGAGCTTTTAAAGAACGAAGTCCAATGGTCATCTAAATGAAACAAATAGGGTATGTGTAGAAAATGTACAATGTTTCTTTAAAATATAACTCAAAGTACAATCAGTAGATGGTTTTTTCAAAACAAATATTTAATATTTTAACTGTTTTACAGGAAAGAAATTTAAATAACATACTTTTTACTGTTGACTTGATCATTTTACAAAGGTGACAAAAAATACAGAAAGTTCTGTGAAACTCAATGAAAAGCATAACATTGGAAATTTTCTTCAGCTTTCCACTTTAGTGGCCGAAGATACCACACAGACTTGTGCGATGTCATCATATTCATATGTTCTCTTTAAAAACGTGTCTGTTAGTCTTAAGCCGGAGACGCTCTATTGAGAGAAAAATATAGGCCTAAGTTTTCATTCAATGGCAATTACTAGAGGAAGTATGGATACAGTACATGCGATGGGTTAATAGCTCCCAAATACTGAAATGATTGAAAAGATAACATACTTGCAGTCCCTGTACTGAAGACAGTAGAGTAAGGGCGAGGCAGAGAGAAGAACTTGGATGCAGCTTTCCAAGCTGTCTTCCTGAAATGCCGCACCAGTGGATAGAATTGGTATTGCACATTTCCAAAACTAGGTCCATAGTCCTTTCACTGCTGGGGGAATCAGAAAAACAGGAATAAATCTTGTTCCTTTCACAAGAAGGATGGGACATTCTTGCATTACTGCCAGTGAATTTGTTTTTTGGGTGTCCAGGAGAATTAAAAGCCAGAAACAAATTAAAATATATCATTTTTATTTCACTTATGATAGAGTCAGGAAAATGAAAGAAGATAGCATCTTCTAGGGTTTAAAGTGTCACTGAGACTAATTTGCCTCTCTGGTTGTTGGCCTTCTGGTTCTATTACTAGACACCTGGCTCCCTGCTTTGCCACTTCTCTGGGAGACTTCCAGACATCTGTGTCTAATCTTGGTGCTATGCATCCTTCCTATTTCTGTTAGGTAATCTGCAGGAAATAGAATAACAAACGGAGACTGGTCCAGTGCTTTTCCTATTTATGTTTCTTTAACATGGAGGTAACACAGAAAATGAATGACATGATTTATAAGAAGTAAAAACTATTCAGGTTTGTTCACTGTTAACATAAAAAGCCTGCTTCTGCTTACAATTGATATCATCAGTTCAGCTTAAATATGTTAAAACAATTTTTAATGAAAGTATGCATGTTGTTTAAAAAAACTCACAAACCAAAGGCTCATAATGAAAAACACTCTACCACCATTCATGACTACCTTCAACTCTTTTTTTTTTCATAGTTGGCTCCATATTTTAAAATATTTATTTAAAAATTAATTTATTGATTTTTAGATATAACAATTTAATGGTACTTAGCTTTTATAGGCCTCTGTCTCCTAAATAAACATTTGAAATGTCTACTGTGCCACAGACCAGGTTAGATGCACTACATAAATTTTTGCATTAAGTTTC